CAATTATTTTATGTATATTTTTATTGTTGTTATTAGTAGTATTGTAGTCGAACCATTTTTCCTATTAGCACTGTAACTATTATTATTATTATTACTACTACTACTACTATTATTACTACTACTACTACAACAACAACTACTACTACTACTACTACTGCTACTACTGCTACTACTACTACTACTACTACTACTACTACTACTTACTACTACTACCACCACTACTACTACCACCACTACTACCACCACCACTACTACCACCACCACCACCACAACCACTACCATCACTAGGCTACGACTACGACTAAGACTTCGATTACGAAGAAGACGACGACCACGACTCCAGACGACTCGGACTCCTACTCCTCCTACTACTCCTGCTGCTGCAGTTGATGCTGCTGCCACTGCCGCTAGTGCTGCTGCTGCTGCTCCTACCACCACCACCACCACCACCAACACGATGACGACTGCGCTTACTACTACTAGTAGCACGTACTTCTGCTACTACCCACCTTTCGTGTGGCTGCCTGTCGCGATTTTCTTGAAAACTTCGCCATCTGTTTGGTGAAGTCTGGGTGGAGATGCAGCCCGCAGAAATCGATACTCGAAGGCTCGCGGAAAAATGCTGCATCCAAGAGGCTACGGAGCTATTCCGCACGCGTGGGCCAAGGGATTCCTGCCAAACACAGAACCTACTGGCAATCCGAATATCGGGGGCGCCCGAATTTTGGTTCACTCTGGCCTCCATTCCGGCTGCAATGAAGCCACTGATGACGTCGATGCTCCAAGTGTCTTGGTCCACAAGACAATATCAGCAGCACACCGGCGGATGTATTCCGCCTATTCCGCCAATCACACCTGCATCCTACTTTCTTACCCAGAACAACTAACTTGGCACATGAGCTTGCAAGAAACATCACGTCTTCGCTATCATGTCGCAAGAAGAGATCAGATGAAGCCCTTCCCGACCAGCTGCGAGGGCTGGGTGGGCCAGTGGAAGATGACTCCGAGTAGCTTCGGATGATCTCTGCGACCTGCAAGAGCAATCCCAGAGAAGGTCGCTAAGCATTTTGCAACGCTGTCATTAGTCAAGGAGTGCAGTACCGGCTGCACAAGAGCACAGGAATCGTGGCAAAATTCGGTCGCGGCGCAGTGTCGAGGATACCGAACATCACCTTGTTGCGCTCGCCTCCCTTGGGAGGTGCGGTTTCCTGGCGACGTTGCGACGCTACAGTCCACAGGAGGCATCAATCGCCCCGGTCGATCAGTCAAACAATGTCGGCGAAGCTGAAATCATAAAACATGCACATCCTAAAGCACTATGGCTAGGGCAGAACCCTCAGTCCTACCGGTTTTGCTGCATAGACTGCTCTGACTTATTCTTTCGAAGCAGCTTCCACCGCGGCAGATTCCAGCGCTTATAGCTGTAACCCGAGCAGTGTGTGCATTGGGTGTGCTCTAATCTGACCATGACTCCAGCCGCTGCTGCAGTCGATCGAGGACACCTGCAGCATGAGCAGGTTCAGTTTATGTATGCGTCGTTGTCCAAAACCAATATAATTATATATGTTGGAGACGCAATTTTTTGTTGCGGTGTCTGACGTCAAGGACGGGAGCACAACGCATGCAACGCATATTCTTGTGCTAGATGAGTCTCAGCAGATGATGCAGGGGCCTCCAATGCCCAAAAGCTGGCGGGATGCAGCCAAGACGAGGTCACGTCGAGCACCTTCCTTTCGGAAGCAGCACATTTGAGCATTGAGGGCAACAACCAGTTCTGAACATGATGAAAACAGATGCAAACATGAACATGTATCCATGCATTCCTACTTACTGAAGCACTTATCTGTGTGTCTACAGCTCTTCTATAGTTGTGTGTTTATTTGTGCGGCGCTTGTGCATATTCAATGCAAGCATAAACGACACGGGACACTAGCAAGCTGTGCGGCATTAGTGAGGAGCATGCCGTCTTGGTCATTGGTACAGTACTCGATATGCTACTACTGGCGCGCGGGATCCATAATACATGTGTGCTTGTACTTTCGCTGAGCTTCGCTGGGCTTTGTGTTTGCTGCTGCTGCTACGTCTGGACATGGAAGCAAAGGGCCACGTTCAATAACTGATAAAACATGCTACTTGTAGGTGCCACAGCATATCGCGTTCGTTTGAGAAGCACCGCTCTTCGACTAGACATGCCGAGCAGCATGCAATCGCACATTGGAGTCACCAATCCGGAACATGACATGTTCGATGAGGACGGAGACTGCATGCTGCACCTGCGTGCCCGAGCACGGCTCGCGCTTCACACAATGCAACGTCTGTTGATCCACAATCTGCATCATTGGGAGGCCTGGGCAGCCGAGATGCTCACATCAATGTTCTGGAAGGTGTCCTTCAGATTCATCTTGCGGATGTTTCGACACTGGCTTGCCCATTGATTTGCGACACTTTGCCATCTATGCAACTGCTCCAGTCCCGAAATAGCTCCAAGGCCGTCAAGCCGACGGGGATAACCTGGAACAGCTCATCCCTCAAGCTTAAGGCTTGTAAGACCTGGCTTAAGGGACACCTCGCAGTCAGCAGATTCTGGCAGGTCCGGACATAACCGGCTGAAGCCATCAGGCGGGCCTTGTCCCTCAGCACGTGATTCAGGACAAGGCAGCTGACTTCCCAAGCAGATGCTCGCTCACCTGCACCAAAACTCGGCAAAGTGCAGAGATCGGCACAAGCGCTACAAGGCCGAGTCGGCCGAGTCCAAGGGGGATAAGTGAAGAACGGACACACGGAAGTATTGCCGCAGCCGGGTGGCGGAACAAGCCCTTCGTCGAACGGGCTGATCCCGGCAGAGCGACAGCGACCCCTGGGGCAAAAGCGCGGCGGGGCCAGGCTGAGAGCGAGACTTTTTGTCCCCTAGGCCTAGCCTTCCAGGTCACTGCCGTTCAGCACCGCTGAGATCCTCATTTTTGCAGCAGCAGAACTGCTTGAACGCCCGCTCATTTCTAAGGCCGAGGGGCGACTGCAGCCCGCGCTGCCTCTTGTCCCATTTCGTAGACTGCAGAAGGGATGCAGTCTCCTCACCAAACCTGAGCGTGCTGATTCCCTGAAAAGCCCTCGGGCACTACTTGCACCAATTCTTAATACGTGCAGAACCAATGCCAACTAAATGAATTGCAAAACGTCCAAGAAGCTCCGCGGCAACGGCTGCATAGATCCTGGGAAGGAAGTGCACGGAGGAAGCAAGGTTCAAACGGAACACACAGGGAGGCAACGTGAAGCTGCACGAACAAACAACACTAAAGCCACAAAAGTGTCACTAAGGCTGTCCGTAAACGAGCAATGGGATTGTCTTGTGGCAGCCTTGGAACCAATATGGCAATATGGTTGTCCGGCCATCCCCTTCCCCTCCCCACTTGCTACATGCCTCGAGCCGGCCTGAACCCTGAAGCCTCAACCCTGCAGCCTAAACCAATCACTGAGAGGGGAACCAAGCAGCTGAAGGCACAAGCTCTACAGCGACGGGGGACGAGGCCTGAACCACCCAACCAAACCATTGCGGGAGCAAGGGACCCTTTATGCACTTATGCACCCTTTTGAATGGACTCAGGCGTTGGCTCGCTTGGCGACAGCTTGAAATCCGGGGTGGCTTCCTTCAGGGTTCACACTGTTGCTCCTTCTATGCGCTTAGTGCCATCTATTTGACTTGCTAAACATCATTGAACTTCCAGCGGCTCTGACCCTGAGAGGCTGTGCTTCCTTCGTCGAGTCTTGCAGCACTTCTTCAACCACGCGTGGGGAATGCGGGGGTGCGACGGCGGTGGAGCGCAGTGAAGTTCTGCGATCGTCCTGAGGAGTTGAGTTGCGTTGGGGAGTTTCTCCGACGTTGCCTGAATCTACATCTCTGCCTTCTTTGGATTGCTGGCAAACAACATCACTGCACATTGGACATGTCTTGCTTATGCTGTATACGGTACCATTCCAAAGCTCAAAAGTCTCCTCCGACTCTGCTAGCGGGCTCGACGGTGGGTCCATCGAAACATTCGCGGATCCAGTGGTGTACGAGCATGTCCTGGGCAATCGAGTGACAGCGAATCTCTGTGATCTATGTCTGGCAAATCATGCTGGTAGATTCTCTCTCTAACGTCTTGTGTTGTGGCCTGCAGTATTATGGCCAACTCCAGCAGTTGCGTGAAATCTTGGCACATCTGGATTTTTGAGCAGAAGTGCTCCTTGCTCACACGCAGGACGAACATCGAAGTCGGAAGAACAGTTTCACTCGGACCCGAGACACACACTTACTTTCATTTGTGCACTTCCATGCATGTTCCCACTTGCACACCCGAGAACACGCATCTACACGCATTGTCTGCCCTCCTGTCTCGCTAACTTGCACTGATGCAAGATCCTGGTGCTTTACAACCAACCTTCCCCTGCACAGTCATGCCCTTTTAGCCTTTTGCCAGCATGACGTGCAGCTGACGGAACTCAGGTAAATGTGCGAGTCAGGTATCTCCATAAAAGTGCTCAAAGCCAGTAGGAGGCACTAAGCCAAATGCCTAACAGTACCTCTGAATCACACCAGACGGGTGCCGGCCAAGCTGCGATTCCGATGGGCTGGACCCGGGCGTGGGCGTCCGAAGCTCGGGGCGATGCATTACCTCTTGGTGCTTCCTAGTAGCAAGGCTAGATTCGATAGTGTGCTGGCCCTGCCATGATTCTGTGATTGCTGCCTTGTGCCAGCATAAGCCAATTTGGGACTGCTAGCTCCAGGTCCCCGTCTGCACTGTCTCGAATACACATCTCTGCAAGCGGCACATATGAGTTCTCTCATGGCAAGCAGCATCGTCGGAGCAGGCGGTGCTGTTGCTGGTGCTCCCCAGCTTGGACTGCGCATCCGGAGTCAGCAGTTTGACCTCGTGGCGGTGACTGGTGGACAGCGGCTGGACATTCTGGACAATCCCGAACCACCACAAGCTGTCCAGGCACCTCATTGCGTCTATCGCACTGCGCCTCCTGGTCGAAAGGGACAACTGCCGAAGAAGTCTTCTTCCAGAAGCCAATTTGTCGCCTCAGTTGCTCGTTCGCCTACGACCGGCCACCGCTCTGATCAAGCCGGATGCGGCCTAGACACAGGAAACCCATCCTGGTCCCACGCCCGCGCCGCTTCCGGGATCGGGGATCTTCGAGCCGAAAGCCCCAAAACACACATGCTGCCTGCAGTGGCAGCCTAATGGCGTTGCGCTAGCGTCTTGCCTGACCACCGCTGCCGGCTTGTGATGGCTTCATGAGAGAGATCGTGCGCGCCAGCGCTGCGACCAAAAGCTGGAGAAGGCTGCGGGGTGCAACACCACTCATACCGGGGCCCGTGCACCGCTCCAGCCGCCCGGAGCGACGGGGCACGACCGTCCCGTTTTGGCACCTATACAGCAAGGGACTGTGGCAACTGCTCGGGCGGTAGTGTTGCACACCGCACAGGATCGAGAGCTTCCTTGTCATGCTTTCCACATCTTTGCCGACGCCAATGAAGCGAGTGTGGACAGCCCCTGATGCTGTGATACTGGAAGCAACCGGAAAGCCCTTCACAAAGGCACGGGGCAGCACGGCATGAAACAACCACCACACAATCACAAACTCTGCCACCATCATCAAGACGTCGACGTCGTGACTTGTCTTTCGATTTCTGAGGAACCTAGCCCAGCGCCGAAATCCATCGCGAAAACGCTGCTTGAAGTACAACTGCAGTGCAACATCTGGCCGTGGCATTTGCACACCATTCACAACTTCCGACTTCCGAAACACTTTCACGGCTTGCACCATCATTCGCGACTGTCATCGTGCAACTGCACAAACGTGAAATATCAGCTGCCAGGCCTCTGCATGACCAGCTTGTTCTCGTGCGACAATGGGCAACCGCCTGTTGCGAGAGTCTGCACGAACGAATTCAAAAGTTAAAGCTATATAGGAACGTTGGGTACAGCTCCAATGCCCATCACCGCCCGAACACTCGCTAGACAAACATCGATCGCAAGCAATTGCTCTTCCAAGGATTGAAGGGTACTTCGCCACACGCTGCTTCCCCGCTACATACTCGGGTCGGGCTTGGCCGGTGTCTGTCTTGTTCCATTTTGTCCCTTGGTCCTTTGCCGGCTTGCCTCTGCTCCCGACTTGCTGGAGGGCTCGAACTACTCGAATCGGAGTGCCTCCTGCCGCCAAGAAGCAGCCGAAGCTGAATAAAAAAACCAAGAAGCATCCATACAAACTGACCCCAACAGGCATTTCTGCATGTACGTCTGCACTCATGTACGTATGCATGTTTGCTTGTATGGGCGTGTGCAGGCAGGTAGATGAGGCGGCCAGCTCGTTGGCTTATCAGCTGGGTAGGTATGTAGGTGTTGCAGGGATGCATGCATATGCGTCGGAGGTATGTAGGCATGATGCCATGTCGCTGGCGCTTGTGAAAGAACGAATCACCAAAACGGACACACGACTCTTCTTCATCAACTCTTGAGCATGAGGGGTGAGCCAAGGGCTTGGGGAGGAGTGCAAGTCAAAAAATAGTCTCACACACGTCCGCACACGCACACATACCACGCAGAAAAGCAGTCATACATGCGGTCATGAAAGGCTAATGTCTGTGGAGCAGTCACAGAAAACCGGACATGCCACTACTGTCAGCTCGCCCTGCACGAACAACTTTGACAAAGCCAGCTGTCACTGAGCTGGAGCTCACTAGCTAAGCCCGTTCGGATGTTCGCCTAAACACGCAAATTCTGCCCAAGGTGCCCGGAGGGTGTGGTCCTCGCAAGACATGCAGCGGGCTTGGGATGCTTCGGGCCGCCCCTGCAGGCTATTGCAACTATGCCAATGCAAAGATGCTCAGAAAACTGTTGAGAGACTCTTTTCTTGCCGAGCGCGGCTCTGTATCGTAGCTGCTGGGAAACTTCAAGAAGCCCTGCACCGAATTGACTGCACTTGTAGGAGCTTCAGTGTCCTTCAAGCTCCTTTTCCCCCGGTTCGTCTTTTAAGGTCAGTGGCTTCAACTGAGCAAAGAAGAATCTCTCAGCTCTGAAGAGATCTAAACTCCAGACCGTCTCCAGATCTGCGAGTCGTAGACACCAGCCGGCACAGCCCGGCTACAAACCAACGTGCCGACAGCTCAGCCACTCAGCCACTGACCCAAAGTGCTTCCGGCTCATGACTCGCTATTACCTGTGATCCTGTCTCCAACAACAACTCAGCTTTCATCTCGATCTCATCGATCGTCTGGTATCATCCACGATTTATGTGTCCTATCTCACGGATCTCATGAATCATGATTGTTGCCAGTGGATCACAGATGAGCGGCACTGGGTTCTCACCCCCGCCTCCAGTTTCCTTCATGTGCCAGAAGCTACGAATACGACGAATACCCCTTCAGACCAGGCCAAAGCGGCTCGAGGCATCATGCCTTCGAGCTTGGCAAAGCTTCATCTGCAGCTCCCGGACAGCTTGGACTCTCGACCGAGACGCAGCTGAGGCGCCTTGGCCTGGAGCGTGTCCCCGATTGCGATATTCACCTGGTAATGTCGAGTGGGAAGAGCCTTCAAGTGCCTAGATCCCTAAGGGTGCCATTCAGACTCCCTGGCTGTTCAGGATTGTCTGCGCCTCCAGCGGCACTCGGAACTCGTAGTTTTGCTGGATCTCCTCACTGCATGAAGTTGGGCGAAAGCGTTGTGTCCCGGCCTAGATCATACACCACAGTCCCCTTGCTGCTTCTGATTCGGATTGGTGGGTGTGTTCCTTTGCCTTGACTGCAATCTCATCGTCCTTGAACGGCTTCATCATGATCTCTCTCAAGATTTCAGCTGCCTGAAGCACAGGGGTGCCAATGCGGACACATTGCTGCGTTTCATGTGGTTGCTGCCAGGCTAACAGGCTAACGAAACCCGCTCAGGCGGTACCAGGGGCGACTCGCAGGTCCGAATTTTGAAGTCGGTTGTGGTCAAGGAACCGTTCTAACGATGCAGCACTTTCAGCTTTCAGAGATGCTGGTACGGCTTGCCAAATTTAGCACAGCGGGACGTTCTTGGGATCCATCATGCATCTGGCCTTTTCAGCATGCTCCTCAGGTCCATCCAGGATGATCTCATCATGAACCTGTGCAGGTTTCTGGTTAAGCCAACCATGGACAGTCTACGGCAGTCTGATAGCAAGAAGCGAAGGTGACAGGGACCAAGGTCCAATCAACATTGATAGGCCTGCATGATCATGTGGTAGCCCATCTGCTTGAGCTCTTGGCAGTTCTCAAGCTGAAGCATGACAGCCTGCGCACAGGCTTTTCGGAACTTTGTGCGATCCGCCCAGGAGTCGGCGACGACAAGTTAGTGAACAGCAAACCCTAGAAGTGCGCCTGAATCGAAACTTCATGCGTTGTTCACCGGTTCACATCTGCAGACTTTCTTAGCCTAGCCTAGCACCACAAGCTCCCAGGCCGTAACGACGTCGGCAGCAGAGCCCTGGATGGCGAAGTTCACTGCCGCGCGCTTCGATTCTGCAGCGGGGGCTTCTTGGAAATAACGAAAGACAGGCAAACCCGGCACCGCTCGCAAATCCACACGAGGATCTCTGACAGCTGGGACCACGGCTTTCACGATAAAAGGCTGATGCCTGATCGTCAAGAAGGGGCCTTGGTACTGTAAGCTGCGTCCAACGTCCCCGCGCAACACAATGCAAACTGCGACGGGATCTGGCTCAAAAAGAACAGTGGGAGACCGTAGAAGCTTGCTGAGAAAGCGGGCAGATGTCGCTCTCTTCCGAGCAAGGACAAGGAGACTTGTTCCTGCTGCGCGTGCTCCTCCACCCGCTTCTTCCAGCTGGCAGCACGGCAAAGTTTTCAAAGCTTTCACAACATAAGGAATTCCAACTCTGAACCCATCTGCTTCATGCTTGTTCGGCATCCAGCACATCGGACACGAGGAGTCACCCTCAAACTTTTTTGTCATTGACTAAGTGGCTGCGCAAGTCTGCGATGTCGCTGTGGTCTACTTTGGCTGCTGGCAGCTTCATCCATATCCAAGCACGACAACACGACCCTCCTACGGTACCCTCCACAAGGGTCTTGTCAACACAACAATTTTGCGTGCGTCGTTTCAGGGTGCTGTTGGCACTGGCTGAAACGCAATGGATCCCGTGGCACATCTGAAGTCACGCGCCAGAATGGATGCAGGGGAAGCGTTCTAAAAGCATGTCAGAAGCATACTTCAAGTCTGAATGAAACTATCAAATGCTGAAAAGCCTGAGGTCTGAGGTCCTGGATGTCTTAGGATATCGGCTTGCATGTAGAAAGCGCTGGCGCTCCATGCGGCTGGACATACATACATACATACATATAATACATACATACATACATACATACATACATACATTTTTTTAGCACTCGCACTCGGCAGGGCAGGCGAGGTACCTGGAGAACAAGATCCACAAAATGACTTAAGCAGGGTTTCGACTCTCACACCCGCACCAGGCAGGCAAGGTTGCACATAGTCACGTCACGCTGAGAAGACCCTGGAGCCTAGACCAAACACCGAAAGATACCATCACCGTGACCGTAAACATACAACGACAGCAGGCTCCAGGGACTGTCGCAGTGGGAACATTATCCCACTCTCCGCCAATGTTCAGGAATATAGTGGTACAGAGCACGGGCATCGTGCCTTGAAAAGTGTCGCAAATTCTACGAGTACATACATCGCACCTATTCGCAAGACCACTCACATGCATAGGCTTCGGCGGCAGTAGTCTAATCCAGAAATTCCCATGCACAGCGCATCGATACACACCATATTCGCTGGCATATATGCGAACAAGCAATCAAGCTCAGGGCACATTCTGCTGAATTCGCCTCTGTATCCCATATTGTCTTACTCACCCACGAACCCAGGCCATGCAGGAATAAATTCAGTTGCACTTGCCCAGCAGGGCAGCACCAGTGTCATACCAGCGCAAATTCCTAAATTCTTCAACCAACAAATTCCCAAATCTCCAGCAGCAATGCATACCCAAATTTCCAAATTCTTCAATATCCACAAATTCCCAAATTCTCCAGCAGCAATGAATTCACGAATGTATACTCCCAGCGTATTCAGGCCATGCAGTGCGAGGTCCCAGGATCGCCGTGTCTGCTGCCCACCAGCTTCACACACATAGTGTAGTGTTATACACCACAGACAGTGTCATCCACCTATTTCCGGGCTCAAGGCCTGTCCCAGCACTATCTCCCAGCAAGGCAGGTGGACACCACAAACTGGCCAACACATAGTCTCTGCTGTCAGCTCCACTCGGACCCAGCAGTCAGCCAAATACAGCACGGCAAACTCCGCATCAGGATTCAGTGGCCACACTATCATGTCTCGTGGCCGGAACTCCTCCAACATATCCAGCAGACCATCCAGGTATCTCGACAGTGCCGGAATGCGCAACGTCCACCATAGCCAGGCTCGCTTCGTCCCCCTGATCCACCAGTAAAAGGACTCAGCAATATGCATAGCCAAGGTTTCAGGCATGCACTGCAATTGGTCGTATACCTCCAGCTCCCAAAGTTGTCGGAAAGGCAACAGGTGTCCAACAGGAGGCATGTCGTGCTGTGGAGGCGGCGGGTACATGGCTCAGATCAGGTGCGAGAGGTTAGGGTTACGTCAGCAAGGAGAGCCGGGTCTAATACCAGTCAGACGCAATCCTCAGTGACATGGAGCCTACGAGGAAGCAAGACCGTGGAAGGGAGGGGGGGGACACTCACCGACCAAGCAGGGTTTAGGGTTTAGGGTTTACATTCATACATGCGTGCGGGTTTGCGCGTGTGCACAGACTCAGACAGACAGCTGCAGCAAGGCAGGCAGGCGGATACAGATAGGTAGATACACAGATATGCATGCTGCGTGCTGCATTCTTGCACACATGCATGTGCCGCAGCTAAATGAATAGCTAACCAGATCAGCGCACACAAAAACACACACACACACATAATTCTGCGAGCCTATGATGGCGTCTACGTGCGCGTATAGACTATACGCATACTATCGCATACTTCTACATTTGAGCACTGTTCGCGTGGACTGCTGGGTTGCTATCATCCTATCACCCTACATTGCCCGACTCGGGTCTTCCCGTCACCACATTGTGGCACTGTAGCCTAGGCAAATTTATGCGTACCGAATGAACCAGTAGTGGATACACGCCTACACCAGTGCCAACAAACATTAATAGACTTCAATTTTCAAATCACCCTTGCCACCTCCACACCTATCCATGTATGTTTGCGCCCCGGAGGGCCCCCCGTCACAAAATATATGGTCCTCCCCGCACCTCGCCCCCCCATGGAACGGCTTGGGCCTCTGGCATGGTTAGGTGTTTAGGCTGCAGGGATGAGTTCAGGGTTCAGGCCTGGCGGGCCTTTTTTGTATACACCCACACACATACCTTCTGCACATGCCCTTGTGTATCTTATACCTTTAGCCGTCTGAAAACATATATTCGTCTCATTGTCCTTCTCCGGGAAGCGAAACAACAACAAAACTCGGCCTCTGAACCATCGGCTTGTTCTTGTACCAAGCCTCCAGCTCCCACCGATGCTTTGCAATGAGTGGGGTGGTGCTTGGTACTGCAGCTACAGCGACATACAGCGACAGCATGCACTGGTGCAGCACACAATGAGCCGGCCTGCATCAGGGCCGTCGCTTCTTCTTTGGGAATGTCCAAGTCCTCTCGAAGATCGCCATGCGTGACATGTTCAGCCTTTATAAACTGGATGCCGTTTGCTCCCTGGGTCGAGGCTCCTCTGCGAGGCGTGAGCTCGTCATGCCGTATATGATGCCTGAGCTCTGAGCGGAAGGGACGGGGACACCAGAGACGCAACTGCGACGAGTCCAAGTGGAGAGGCCTGGCACTCTGCACGAGTAATTTTAGGGCCGCTGCCAAAGTTCACGGCCTTGGCCCTGTTCCGCTCCTCCGGGAAGGCGGACCTCAAGAAGACATACGCAAGCCCTCGGAACTGGCGCTTGGTCAGGGCCATCCCAGCAGCCCGTCTGGATGCCACATACTGCAGGCTGAAAGCATGCACGCTCTTTCCGGTGTCGCTGCAGCTCTGTCGCAACATTTGGCTGGAGCTGTTTGTTGAACTTGCAAACACAGCCTCGCACATCAGTCGAACCAATTCGCCGTAATTTTCGTATGCCCATCTAGAATCGCTAGAAATTAGTTTCTGAACCGAAACAATCGGCAATTTGTGAGGCGTCCAGAAAATCGGAACGCCCAACACGCCTCCGACCTTCCCATGACAGTCGAAGCTTCGGAGGGAAATCGGCGCGACATCCCTCAGGCTTCAAGCCGAATCCGCTGACGCCGGCAGCAAGGCTTCACCCTCATTCCCACGTTTGCGGGCTTACGGGTTTTCCAGCCGGCTTGTAGATACTGATCGCAGACAGCAGATCAGACGGATCGATAGGTCGATCGGTAGGTAATGATAGCGAAATGACTAGCTGCTAGATTCTGGATTGTCGCGAGATGTTTCCATTGGGCCACAAACTTTGGCATCACGACAGCAAGCTGTCCACGAAACAGAAGGCCACACAGACACTCCGAGGCACGACTGTCGGGCCACTGCAACTTTCCATGAGCCCAACAGTGAGCACACAAGAAGTCACGGCTGAGCCTAGGACTGTGTCTCCAATGCCATGACGACCGCGTTTCACAATAGAAATATGCAGCAGAAACGACAAAAACCAACTCGGCAAAAGCCTTGCTAGGGCTGCCGGTGGCTGTGCCGGCGGGCCAGCAAACTCCTGGGTGAGCGTGCCATCCGTCCATGTAGCCGTAGTTTCTAGCTCACCCTAGCTTACGAATACATTCCTCGCTGCTTTCTGCTGTGTGCACAGGTAGCAGGTCCCTGAGAGTAGCACTGCATGCTCACTCAATAGCATGCAATGAGCGCCTGCGCTTCAAATTCAAGATGCGGGCGCATGCTTGTGGGTGTGGGTGCTAGCTGCACTTTCTGCTGAAGGCTTATAAAGGTGCTCTGGGACATTCCGGGGAAGCATGCGGTACCCGGAGAGGATGCGCCGCGGCCCTCTCACACATGGAACCGCGAGCACGCCTGGCGTCAACCAATGACCCGAGGAACTCCAAATGGACACTGCGAGTCACACAGACAGCGTCTCTGCACCACCCAACCTTAGCCTTAAACCAAAAACGAATGCGATGCAGCGGAAGGCTCATAGTGCGGTGTCGTGGTGCGACGTCGAAACGCCTGCCAAAGCTGATGCGATTCTACTCGGAGGCTGCGGCATGTTTCAGCAGTTTGCCGGATAGTTGCTCTATCGAGATCATCGCTACAACAGTCCCTGGCTTCATTCTACGACTTGCAGGTGTCCTTAACGCAGAGCCAGTCTCTGCGACTGCCCGATGGACTTCACTGCGAAGTTCCTGGGACAGGAGGCACGTTGATGAAGCGCAGGATTCAGAAAATAGCAAGCCTTAGAGTTTTAGATGCGTTAGATTTAGAGAAGATGTGGCCAGGGCTCGCAGACTTCTTGTTCTTCAACATCAGTATCCGCTGGTATTGTACCTGGATGATACAGCAGCAGTGCCCACCAATGAATACAGAAACGGTGCTAAGCGGGGTGCAAGCTGTTCTGGAGTCATGATCCGTTCAGGCATCCATTCTGTGGCGTTCAGCTTCACCTCATCCTGGACAATTTTTAGCCTCAGTTGCACCGCTGCTCTCTTCCGTACTCGATGGAGAGTGCTTACTACCATTGTGTTGTACAGACGAGCAACACTTCTCCTTGTGCTGTCACCAACGCCGACTGTGCGGCACTTACGGAGTCACGTTCTATCCGGTTCTTGTCGGCAACACCCTTCTGGTTGATGATTGTCCTTGCTCCCACGAGTAGGCCACGCGTAAGAAAGCAAAGCTAAAGGACGACTGTCACACCCATCAGCACGGCTGCTTACTTTCACCAGGCAATTGGGTGTAACGGTGTGACGCCACATTCAGAGAAGGTTCACGTTGGCAACCTTGGCTGAAACAGTACAAAACGATGGGACGTTTCTGTATGGCCGAGCCATGGTTTCAAGTTGAAAGCACCTTTTTCCTAAGGAGAACGTTTACAGTTGATCCACATGCCTGCCAACTCGAGCCATCGAATTAGCGATCTCTAAAAAAAGATCTTCACCCAGCATGCGGTTCATGAATCAATCCAACCATTCCCGAGAGCCGCCTTGAAGCCTGCAAACATCCAGTCAAATCTGGGATCCTTGAAGCCCCGTCAGGCATTGTTAAGGCGGGCGCATATTCGGCCAGAATGACCTTACCATCGCTGACACGGCGGAATCTGTTGCAGCTGCAACACCAGACGCAACAACTGCCGGCCCGATCCACCTCTGTCTTCTGGCGGTACTCTGTCTGGAGCTGCGTTGCTCTCGCCGTTTCCTCTGCTTGCTTCCTGAGCGAACGGTCCCTTTCAAGAGCGGCACTTAATTGCACTTGCACAACGCTAAACTCACGACTGCAATCGTTACCGCCGAGCTTCCTCACCTGCGTTCGGATGAGCTGATTCTCATATTCCTTTCGGGTTCCCCGGTGGGCAGGCCGAAGAGCAAAACGCAGAACACCGCAGAACTGGTAAGGTCACACATGAGGTTACACGGCTGACTGGCCGCTTCTGCTACGGCTACGGCATGTTGAAAAAAACAAAGGAGCCAGGATCAGGCGCGACATGAGCAGTCTAATTGGTAAAGGCCAAGGTTCCACCTGCAGACGGATGCCCCAGAGCTGAAGGCCCCAGCCTAGGCAGAGAACTCGAGCAGGGCGAGCAGGGATGAGGGCACCCTAATCTATGCTGCTTTTGGACAGGAGGCACTCGGCGTGGCGTTGTAGTAGAACGGCCTTGCACACATCGTGCATCTTCTTTTGCACGCTGGGATAATCTCTCCAAGCCTGACAATCCATTTCTGACTCGAGAGGTAAAAGAGGAAAAGCTGGACAGACCAGAGTTCTCTGAAACGTTTGTATGACGGAGCCCAGTTTTTTCCTTTGCTTCTACCATTGTAACCAGCCTGATCAATAGCGAACTCATTCGTGACCTGCTGCAGAGCTCCTCCCGAGATGCATACATCCCAGAGCTTCAAAGACTTGCTTCAACCCCGTTTCACACCACAGCTTGAGCCATCCACGACTGGCGCTTCCGAATCGAAAGTGTGGGGACAGAGAAATGGGCGTCCTCGCAGCTCCGAGATGTAGACATCCTCGTACACCTTCGTCATCTCCCTGGCATCAGCGACTGGACTAGCGACTCTGATGACGGCCAGTCTTTTTAGTTGGAGTCCAAGCTGACTTGTTTGTTCAAGGATGTTCGGGCACAAGTGCTCACATGCTTTGTTAGAGCCCTGCACCACCGGGAACCACATGTCGGCCTGTAGATTTGCGGCAACTCTTCCGGATAGATCCGATACCTGAGGCAGTAGCAGAAGCTTCCAAGCAGGCCCGGCAGCAAAACACCAATGGCGCCCGCTGGTGAAATCCAGCAGGCGTCATCTTCGCGGTCGAAAGCAAGGAGTGTACCACACAAGGCATGCACACGCCATGGGACTGAATGTATGTATTCAGCAAGGCTGCTGGACGGAGACGTCCAGCCAAATCTGCTTGCCATCCTTGTCTCGCGACCTGGCAGAGTCACTACGGAACGCTGCTTGCAAGTGGGTGGTTGCACAAGTTTTTGGCCTTCTGTATTTACACTTGTCGGTCTGACTTGAACTTCCCGAGCCCAACAACAAGCCTCAGCTTGCCCAGCTGTTGCACTCCTTCTTCGACTGCTTCGTCTGCGAATTCCTCGGATGGACTGTGGAGTAGACCCCCAAACATGGTCAATGCGGGAATGCCTATAGTTGCCTCACCTCTCAGCAGGCCAAGAAACAATCGTGTTGAGAGTTGTGGGAAAGTGCACGAACTCGTTCCAGAACCCCACGAAGTAACCTTGGCTGATATCCGCGGACGGACGGCCCCATAGGAGCACGCAATCTACAACAATCAATCTGCAAAGGTCTGCAGCCAGGCTTCGCCCCTGCAAGTATGCACCTGACAGCACTAACGTGGGCTGGTGTCGTGTGCAGGCCGTGCTTGAACTCCAACGTTCGATCTTGCTGATTTCTCCCCGATTCCTGCAGGTCGTGATGACATCAACATGCACCGGCGCCGAAGTCGCTTCGACCCGGTCTACCCAACCTTGCGTGTAAATGCACAAAATAACTACGTCACCTGTCATATCAATGGGGACCAATCTGTACATGTAGACATGGTATACCAGGGTGTCTGTACATGTACATCTACATCTACACCCATACCCACATACGCGCGTATCCGCAGTATGTGTATTAAGTTGTTGTGTCCTTACTGGTTGTATACACACAGACATACTCATATGACACACACACACACATATATATATATATATACAGGTCTATCCTATTATTATATATCTATGTGTGTCTTTGTATGGATGTATGTACCATTAGTTACCTACTTGTCCACGTATGTTCACCTCTCCGCACACCTGATTTCGGCATCCCACTCTGGGAACTGGGTGCTTTATTCTGGGTGCCCGGCGCTCTAAGCCCACCTCACCTGTGAGGCCGTTTCTCAGCAGCCCCGCATGCAGCCGATTAACCTGCGAACATGCTCCCGGAGCATTGCTATACACGGCAGACATTACTAGCCAACAAGCTGGGACGCTGCTTTCCCCGAGCTATGCATCAATTCACCCATATTAAATGTCCTACCTAGCATTGCGATGCTGCCGCTGATCTGTGTAACTTACACTCCGTTGGAAACGATGCGCCTCAACCCTTATTTGTGTGAAATCTGTCGGGAGGTTCGGGGCAAACGACTGCAATCCGAAAAAAAACCTACAAACTGCAAGCAGCATCCAGGCGTTCCACAATGATCACCCTCTTATACCCTCGGCTTGCCCAACGATGCAGCTGTAGCTTACACGTGCATTCGCTGCAGAACGATCTGTGGAATCGGCCACGAGGCAGCATTGCTTTTCTCTACCAGTATCTTCGAGTGCCCTTCTTCTACGGGCTGGCCTGCTGGAACGAAGTGACGAAGAGAATGAAGATGACGAAGCCGAAGCAGCTGCAGCAACAGCAGCAGCATTTTTTCTGGCACAGGGCGACAGACAAGGCAAGGAGCTGGAACACGCCCAATCTCACAGAAAGACAGCAGAACACCCCAAAGGGCTTCGGAGACCTTTTGGCTTCGTGCCCTCGGCTCAGCTCCCGGCCTCGCCCTTCTCGGGCGTCAGATCTCCTACAGTGAGGTCCTTAGGCGAATGAGACTTCACCCCATCTGTCTGCAAGGCTCACTCTTGCAGCCGAAGTGCCATGATCCCCATGATTGCCAGGGGGATGGGAAGGCAGCGCAGAACTAATCCCTGCCTATCCGCGGACTCTTGAGCAGAATGCCTCTGCAGACCCACTGCATGCAAAACACCTAAATTCATCTCTGCTGTCATGTTTGCTGGTGCTGGCATGCCGAAGCCACACTGCAGCATCACTCCGGGGGCTTTGCCTAACAGTCTGCGCGCCAGAGTTGTCCACCGTGACACCATCTTTCTCCACGGCCTTCTCGCATTGCTGATGTCTGGCTCCAAGAAAGGGCACAAAACCCAGCTACTCCTGCTTTCACATCGGTCTATCAGCGAACTTTCTCGTCTTACCCATCTACTTTCTTGTCAAGCTTGTGCGCAACTAAGCAGAGCCTCACGGACGTGGTCAAACATCTCGACTGCAACCTGACGAAACTGTAAGTGGGTTAGTGCTGCTGTCAGTGACTTGAATGTCATGAAGCATAATTTGCATCCTTCGTGGCCATGCCCGCAACTTGTCAACAGGACAGCCTAGCTGAACTTGGCCTGGGCATGGTAGTCGCCGCCTTGATGCAGACCTTGTGACATGATCCTGCCAGGTACAATTCGAAGATGACGGTACGACGGTGCATGCGGGCCTTTATGCTCTCACAACTCGAGCAAGGTGATGTCTCATGGTTCGCAGTCGGTTCTCAGCAGGCCCTCATCATACTGCTCTTGCCGATCAGCACATGCCTTTAGGGGCCCGGACCTTGGACCGTGGTGCTAGCATTCAAACCAGAGGAAGCTGACCGACAAGAATTTAGTCCGCACTGTAGCATTGAGCGACATTGAGCGCACCCTGCCTGCACTGGGAGATGTGGGCCTCGCTGCGTGCACTGCACATCATTCCAAGAGGTGGGGATCAATTCTGAAGCCAGCAGGCAGTGTCGATACTGCCATCAACTTCGGAGCATTCGTGTAGTCATCACAACACAACTGCAATATGCTGCTTTGTGTTGTTGGTGCACCCCAAGACTGATCGAAACCCCAGGCGCCAGGATGCGCAGCTCGAGCTGAGAGTAATCTGCAAGCACCAGCTTGTGACCTCAGCCAGCCATGCCGCTCGTTTGCTACTGGCAAAACAACTGTCCATACCCTCTTTGCAGCAAGAATCTCTCGCATAGAGTGGACAAAGATGCTGACCTGGCTGTGCCTTGAAGGCAGCTCGTACACCATAAATGTCCTGCATAGTCGTTTTGTTCTGTGTCTCTCCAAGCTCAGGTCCAGGTGCGGTGAAGACAGACCTTCGTCCCTGCAACCAAGCTGTGCAAGTTGGGCTGACTGCATGTCAAGCGCCCGGTGGAGGTTGCGAACCTGAGTGCGGCTTTTCTTTCAAGGTCTGGAGCCCGGGCAATCATCTCAAGCCCCAGACTGCCAGGAGGGATGTATCCGATCCTTGACGACCTTGGCAAGGCCACAGGTCATAGGTGGGAAGGCCCCTACCCGCTGAGCCCTGTTCTATCCTGTTCTGCCCTTTGAGCTTCGAGGCGGCTTTCTGCAGCGCTTTCAGCATGCGGGCATTGGTCTGCACGGGAGAGGAACTCATCGGAATGAAAACAAAGCAGCGGGGACTTCAATGGCTTTCGTCTTGTTCAGATGTCGAAAATAGAACCAGGTTGTGAGACCCGACTATATACTGTAAGAAGCTGCAAGACAAGCACCCTTGAAGAGCACATCAAGCACCCAAAGATCACTCCCACAGCCCGAAGCCAAATTTCGGCAGTTCTGCGGCATGTACAAGAGTGCTCAGGAGCACGGCCATCGGACAAGGAGCGAACCGCATCCCGGAAGCGAGTTTCGACTCTCCTATACGGACACGGGGAGTGGGGCCCTGCAAACGAGGTCTGCAAGTCTTCATTGGAGGGTGCACAGCATCAGAGGCAGGCAGTGTTGGCACTGTGCATGGCTGATTCATCACGGCAATTCTGACACTGGTTCCAGACGAGCCATTGAAAGGCTGTAAGTTGTTGTTTTGCTTTTCGCCAGGCAGAACTGCAAGCAAAGTTTCATTGCCGGGCATCCGAAGAACACGAATCAAGTTCGACATCTCACCCTGCTGACTGCACCTGGTGTCAATACAAAACCGGGGAGAACTCCCTGCCTCGATTCGCTTGCAATCTGACAAGTAACCAAGCGCAGCTTCCACCTGCAAGCAGGAGTAAGCAGCCGAGAAATAAACGCACCTGACTTTGCACTGGTATCGCGCAACTGGATTGCTGATACATGCGTCGGGCCCAGACATTTCCCACCGCTTCCTCATTGAAGCCAGCTTCCGCCAGCTGACGCTTGACCTGGTACTGCTCCCTTGAAAAATCCTATGACGGCCCTATGACCTATGCATTGATCTTGAAACCGAATCGGCACGAGAACTGGCGCGAAGTGCTAACGAAAAGCAGTACCAAACCAGCCCGTTTTGGCCACAAACCAAATTGTGCAGCAAGACGTGATATGTCGTGGACTCGAGATGCCCCGTGGCCTCTCCACGACTGCGAAGCTGGGCCACGGCTTCCTGCGCAGCATAAGCAGGGGACGAGCCACCAGAGGGAGCCTGAGATACGAAGTTTCAAGAAGCCTCCGGGCCAAGACCTCTCCGGTTTTTTGTCCAAGAGTTCATCGCTATGTCAGGTAGTTAGTTCATGTGTTGACAATACATAATGCACACTTTCAAGCAGGAGGCTATGAAAGCGAGATGATTAAGGGTCTCTCGAAGCAGTGCGAAAAGAATGCAGCTTCCATGGTGGGATGTCTCTGCGCCCTTGAAGGAACAATGAACCAAGATGTTCCCCCAATGTTCCCAACATTGAGACAGAGTAGCCGTAGCTTTTGCGACGACGCTGACACGACAGAATCATCAAGGCAGGTCAGCGGGCTCCTTGCGAGTGCTGGGCCAGCCTTTGTCCGTGAAGTCCTAAGCCGCAGTCCGCTTTCATGCTTGCGATTTGTTGCTTCTGGCCTTGGCATGAGCCAATAGTTCCATGTTAAGTTCGCGCAGCTCCAGCTAATTCCACTTTCAATTCCCACATCCATTTATTCAAGTCTTTCGCCCTATCCTGGAAAAGCCTCCGAACCGGAACTTTGTCACTGTCATCGTGCATCCGTGCTCTTGGGCTTCTGTCAGAGGCTGCAAAAGCAAGGACACGAAGGTGAGGCCCAAGCAATGCTCTTTTTGCCTGGCTCAAGGCCCAAGCTCGACAGCTCGAATCTCCTCAGAGAAGAAGGAAGTGCTGTGGCAACTGTAGATCAGGCACAGAGCCAGCTGCGACGATGAAAAATAGTCTCACTTGGCGGCAGGCTTCTTCCCGGAGCCCTCCAGACCAAAGCACAGGCGGGTGTCGCAACTCAGGCACTTGCGCAAGCTATGGCCAACCAGTGGGCCTCGGCAGAATGGAAGCAGCGCGTCACCTGCGAGAGCTGGGAGTCCCTTTGCATGGGAACTATGCAAAAGAACACGACTCTGTAGTTGTTTCCATCGGACGAGTGCCACTCTGGCCACTCTTGCTTTTGGAAGTCGGGGCAGCATATGCCACCTGTCTAGGACATAGCAGCAGAGCGCCGTACTACAGTTACTACAGGGTCTCTTTCCTGTTTCCTGCCATTGACTTGCGAGCAGGAGCAATGAAGCCTGGATGACACCATTTCGACTATTGTTGTCATTGTCTTGACATTGTCATGCGAAGGCCTCGTATCAAGGCGCGTGCGACGCAATTGAAAACCCCTCCGCATTCTGGCACATCCGCGCAGGCCAACGTGCCACAGAAGTTCGGGAACTTCCACATCCAGTATGTTTGCTGGATAACTTAAAGAAACCTGCAGGCTTTCCTCCGTGATGTAGGAAAGAAGCTCGGCGAGCGAGCTGCATAACGGCAAAATCCGCGCTTGCACGCCGCTTTGGAAAGCTGGAGGCCGACCGTGAAGATCCGTTTTGAGCTTGGCCAGGGTCATGAAACTATGCCGGCGAAGGATACATCAACGCAGTTGCCGAAACACAGAATCGGAACAGAGAAGCGGGCCTGCAAAGTCTCGAAGGAGTTGAACTTGTTGCGTGCACCTGCAGATGTCTGGAACGTCGTACAATACTTTCCTACAATTAGCGTGTACGTCTGTGCTCGGCCATAGGCCACACGACCAGACGAAGCACTGCGACTAACACTCAGAAACCGAACGGTAGCCGCCCCTGTGGAGCCCGGCATGCCCAGTTGCTGCCTGTGCCCAAAGTAGAATTACCTGGTAACTACGCCACTCCTTAGAGCACACACAGAACTTCGCACAGAGCAACAATGCCTTTGCATGAAGGCTTACGGCATTCCGCGGCCACGCTCTGCGCTCCACATACACGAATCAACGAAGGAAGTCCATGACTATCCATGAATCAAGCGAGCTCGTGGGAAACACGGCGAAACGTGCTCCAGGCTCCTGAAACAAGGAACACTGGCCTCCAAACAGCAGCGTCTGGAGCTGCTGCGAGCTGTTGATGTTGATGGCAGACTGAGTCGCAGCGCCATATAGCTCCATTTCTACTGACAGATCATACAGGGGGCCTGATTCAAGGACATGGGGGTTAATGAATCCTGCCAACTGCGGAAAAAATGACCCATTAGATGATCCGTGCAGCCGATCATTACGGTTTCAAAGGTGGAAAGTTCCCGCTGTCTGGAAAGGCCGTCCTAGGAGTCAGTTGTCAATGAAAATGGAAAGTGTCTCCTGACTCCTGACAAGGCAGGGCTTGGATGTGCCTGTGTCTGTGTCCAGGTGCAATGTTCAATCACACTATAGTTTATGATTTCGGATGCAATCCTCCGGCCAAGCAGCCGCATCTTCGCAAAGTAGACTTCCATCTGGCTTGCGGATGGACTTCAATGTCTCACGCAAAAGGTTCGTCTTCCTCAGGATAAGCTCAACGCTTCATCACATCTCACACTCCGAGATTGATACGATTCCGAAGGCTTGACAGGATCTGGGAGGGATTTAGGTACATCCTCATTGACGGGGTGCCGTAGGAGGAATTTTTACGGTGAGCCAGGATCCGAAGATAAGATACAGAATTTTCGTGATTACAAAGAGGCAGGGGAACTGTCGGAGGAGTGCTGCTGGCTTCCAGCCACCTTCGGTCATGTTCTTACTTCCTGGCGCTATGCCTTGAGAGAGTCTGTTTTTGCTTTCCAGGCTGCCAGATTACTGCAAGACTGCTTGATCAAGAAGGTGCGTCTGGGCGTTCTTCCCGACGGCATTGCATGAGGTTGGAACCCTTCTGTTCTGGAACCAGCTCGTGTAAAGTCAGCCTGCCTTGCGATCATTACGGTGCCCTGGCGTTTTCTGTAATATTCCTGGCTTTCACCTTGCGAGTTACTCCCCTTCTGCCTCCATTCCCAATTCTGCTTCAATGGTTACTTACTATACTCCTCATGAGACAAGGGTGTCAAGCAAGCAAGCAAGCAAGCAAGCAGGCAAGCAAGCAAGCAAGCTTTGCGGTGTTACCTGGCCGGTGTTTTGCCTTGTGCAACAAGTGTGCGTCTTTGGAAGGTTATTCTTGAGGTCGTTGGTGAATTAGGCCTCGTTTTTCGACGACTACCGCAGTGCTTGCGGAGCATCGTTTGCAAGCATCGCAGGGGCTTTGTTTGCGTGATCCACCGCAGTACAAGGAGGGGCGCACGGCTTTTTGCTGATTCCTCCTTGAGGTCCTTATCAGCTATAGGTATATATGCATATATATATATATATGAGAGA